AGCGACAGTGGAGAGGAAAAACTCCCTTTGAACAGGAAGAAACCTCCAGCAGAACCAGGCTCAGTGTGAGCGGCCATCAATACGGATACAGTTTGATATCCAGCAGAAAATGTCGGAAAACGGACAGAATTCCTGTGAGTTGGGTGTTTTCTCTTCAAACACTGTAGGGGGCAGGATTGCGTGTCCCGTGGAAGCCTTTTGGAAGTTTGTGAGCAGGGCGAGGGTTGCAGAAGCTGGAGAGTCACAGCAGCAGGCAAACCTTCATCCTTCTAAAGGTCTGGTTATCCTCGCCCAGCAGTGCGTCGCAGGTATTTTTGATTTATGCCCAATATTGAAGCGTGGTCTGCGCCATGATATTCCACGCCACAACACCAGAGGGCCAATCAGGAACTAGCTGTGGGTCTAGATACGGCCGAGGCGCTAAGGAAATGGGGGCAAGTTTGTGCGACAACGTAGGGACATGAGGGCCAAAAAGAGCGAGGATCCAGGTGGGAAAAGGGTCCCAGCGTTCTCGCGCACCTCGCTCTTCTAGCTGCTCCATCTTCAGTCGTTTTCCACAATGGAGGTCAGACAAACAAAACAAGCCGTTAAGGAACCAAATAGGGAATTCGCATGGTGTAGACGGGATGTAGATTTGACCAATCAGAGGCCTCCTGTCTGCGGTCAGCCACAATTTTGCAGAGGTGCAGCAGAGTGTCTGCGGAAGGGGGCGGGGCATATCTGCATTCACTGCGATGCAGACGGCCTGGTTTTTGAGTATAAATCAACCCGATAGTTATGTTAAATATCAGAGTAGACGTTGGTTCTTAATGTCCAAAATTATTATCATGGTTTATGGCGTAACATAGCCTGAGCTAAACAACATGATCATCTGCAGAATGGGTCCTGAAATGGAAATCCCGTCAATAAGGTAGAACACTTCAATCAAAACAATAAGATCATAACGCAGCAGTTTTGAGTTGTTTTAGCATTTTAACATTTAAAACTCTATTAAAGGATTCCATACAGCCTCAAACTCTGCAGCCCTTCCCCTGAATGTAAAACATTAAGACATTATATAAGATGCCATCTCCTTTATCCACATATGTATGGAGGGCACATCCATTATTCTCCAGGACAGAGCTACCATCCTGTGATATAGAGTCCACTTTCCTTCCAAACACTGAATGCATGAGTCTGGCTCATCAGGAGACGACTGATTGAACCGGGATAATTTATGTTCCCATCAACCATTTGTATTGTAATAGTTTAATTCTAGTGTTTATAGGTTTTGGCACATTTAGATCACTTGTTCCAGAATAAGAGCTCCACCTGGATCAGTGGCCCACTAAAACCATTTAAGATCAAATACGCTTCCACTGGTTCAGTTTGCTGCAGTCAGCATAAAGATGCTGATCAATAGAATCTAAATGTCTCCAAGGCCTTTAGAAGGACTTTCAGTGTTTTTATTTAACCTTGATTCTGAATAGTTTTTGTTTGTTTAATCACATTTATGTGAATAAGAGCTGTGATGTTTTTTCCACTGGAGAAAAGGTTTATATCTTACCTTTACACCCATAGCTATCATGTATGCCTGATCATGTGGACTCATGTTGATGTGTTTCCAGGTGAAAATGGCTTCTGTCCCCCTCTGGGTTTATTGCTGCACATCTGGAGCATGTATGCACAATTAACCCTTTCATCTGCAAACTGCTATAACCTGTGGCATCGTGAACACGGCTGATGTTATGATGGAACTGTGAATCGTTCTGATCAAAATATCAGGCATTAATGCTGTTCGATGGGGAATCCTTTCCTTACTACTCTGACTGCGATGCTACATCTACCTGCTACACCTTCAGCGGCTCTGAGCTGCTTTTGAACAACCAAAACTTCTCTTTCACAATGTGTCTGAATGTTAATCGTAGGGAAATCCTATTTGATGGCCTCCGGTTTCCTTTGGAGGACCAACTCTGCCATATTTAAAAATAAATAAATGCTCAATAAATATATAAGCATACAATTAATTGCCAACAAAAATACAATAAACAAATAAATGTGAGTAGAAATAAAATTATACAGAGAGACATAAATGTATATAACTCTTTTAATTAGCTTCTTTATTTATTTGCTTTTGTAATATTTTTTGTCCTTTTTTTTTA